CTTAACCCTTTATTCTGCTGTGACTACCGTATTTTAAACCTGGCTGGACTCTGCTACCTGGATTTGGAGAATTTATGGGGCGCATGGGGCAAACACTACCAAGGGAAACTGTACTCAGACTGGGGTGGCATGGGGTAAACACTATACCAGCTTGTTGGCATTGTGGAAAGTGCACTCATGTGTGGCATGGAGCATACACTATACAAAATGTTCTTCTTACTACTCCCTCCCCCTTCCTCCCTATGTTCTTTTTACTCCCCCGTTCTTTTTACTACTCCCCCCATCATCCTCCCTACGTTCTTCTCACCTCCCCTTCCTTGTGTAGCGTGGGTGGCCGAGCTCCTCTTCATCCTGTCAGTCCGGCCGGGTACCGTGCGGTACAGGAGATTCAGTTATCTGTTCCCGGCCGGACTGACAGGAAGTGCTCACTTCCTTTCAGTCTGGCCGGGAACAGGTAACTGAATCTCCTGTACTGCGCGGTACCCGGCCGGACTGAAAGGACGAAGAGGAGCTCGGCCACCCATGCTACACAGGGAAGGGGAGGAGAGAGGCAGTGCTGCAGCCGCCTGAGGCTCTCTATAGAGCGCTCAGGCGGTTGCAGTATTAGAAGGGCCGGCAGGGCGCCCCCTCCTATATGGCTCCCTAGGCAGCCATATAGACGACCCCCAACTTTTAGGAAACCCTATACCCGGCGTATAAGACGACCCTCGACTTTTGAGAAGATTTTCCAGGGTTAAAAAGTCGTCTTATACGCCGGAAAATACAGTACCCAGATGTGCGTCACCAGGGAACTAATGTTGGACAGGGCTTTAAAATCTGGGCTGTTTTGCCAGAAGCAGGACAGTTGGGAGGTATGTTAGTATGCTGCTGGGAAGCAAATTGTATTCCAACAAGTTTGACAAACCGGGAACAAGGTGATTGCGCACACAGTGGGTAAAAACCTCACAGTTGGTAATGGTAATTAAAACCTATATAGTATGAAAGATAAAAATATCATGGTATAGTATGTAAACACAAATCAGAATGGTGAGATAACTTGGAATACTAACAAACTAAAGAGTCCGTAAGGAGTTGACTGTAGACTGTACAGGAAGCGGCAAATTCCTCTAAAAGGTAGTCCAGAATAAGATGAAGTTAAAATCTTTTTATTGCACATAAAACAAAGTAAAACTATAAAGCTACTTGCACAACGTGTTTCAATCAAACTCAAGGTCATACTCTGATGCATATGTCCATACATAAGTTCATAACTGCATTGTAATAGATCATGATGTCTGAAATGATCTGGAGAACCTGTTTTGTGTATGCTGCGTTTACTTACAAAGTACAAGGCATATGACACATTTCAAGTTCTATTCAGGAGGTTAAATGTAAGTTAACGAACAAACATCAAAAACAAGAGGCTGCCAAATGGGTGACCAACTGGATCTTTGTTTCAGTTTTATTTTCCAAAGTTTCTAAAGATGGAGCTTATATTTATTTTCATGAAAGGGACACTATAGGCACCCAGACCACTTCAGCTCATTGAGGTGGTCATGGTACAGTTTCAGTATTACCCTTAGTCGGGCAATGTTAAACATTGCAGTTTTTGTATTAGAGGCTGATGCTGGATGTTTTCACGCTTCATGAGGACATCCAGCCTCCGTGAAAACCCCATAGGAAAGCATTGGAGGAGGAGCGCTGATCCAGCACTGAGGGACATCGGCGCTGGAGTCGGGTGAGTTAATAAAGGGTTTTTAACCCTTTATTGGTGGGAGGCTTAAGGCAATATAGTGTTAGGAATACAGATTTGTATTCCTAAAACTATAGGATCCCTTTAAGATTTTAAATGGACGAGAGTACAGAACAAAGAAAAAGGTAACTGCACACAAAAACCTTCAAGACTGTTTACATTTTCTTTACTCCATAAATGGCATTGAAATGTTTCATAAGGGAACAGTACAGCAGCAGAGGTAAGTATAATTTAAGGCATGGAATATTACAAGCAAAAAAAATTATAAATTATACTGTCATATTTTATGGCATTATCAAATTACTCTTGAGTTGCCTATTAACCTTACCAAAAATATTTATATTTTCAAAACATAAAAATCTCTCTTAGCTATCTGACTTTCTTGTCTGGTATTACAGATGTAGAATTGATGTCTTATGCAACTGCGTGTGCCAATGTCTCACTTCTAATGTTTTGTGGAAAGCAAAAAGCAATGATTCATTATAGGTGAGCTAAAGAAATGCATGTTAATAAACATTATAGATTAAGGCCAGATGTATGTGACAGTGATAATGCAAGGACATTTCTATGGCATTGTTGTTTCATTTGGAAGAAGCCCAGGATCCAGCTCCTGTATCTGTATTCAATTCAAATTGTCATTGTTCAGTTAAAAGCATGTGCCTGAACATTTGCGTACGTGCAATCTTTTTAATACACCGTTGACTGTTGCTATTCTCTATTTAATGTCAATATAAAGTGATCAGCCACCACATTAAAATCACTGACCGGTAAAGTGAATAATATTGATTATATTGTTACAACGGGAACTGTCAAAGGTTGGATATTTTAGGCAGCAAGTGAACAGTCGGTTCTTGGATTACATGTGTCGGAAGCAGAAAAAACGGGCAAGTAAAAAGATGAGTGACATTGACAAGGACCAAATAGTAATGGCTACACGACTGGATCAGAGCATCTCCAAAACCCAAGTTATGTGGGGTGTTCCCAGTATGCAGTAGTTAGTACCTACCAAAAGTGATCTTTTAGATCAGGTGGATGACCTGGTGCTTGTGCATCATTTACCTGGGGAAGAGATGGCAGAATGCATTACGGGAAGGAGGCAGTTTTTTTTGCTCTGGGCAATGCTCTGCTGGAAAACCTTGGGTCCTGGCATTCATTTGGATGTTACTCGAACATGTAACCCCTACCTATAGATGTTGCAGACAATGTAAACCCATTCATGGCAACGGTGTTCTCTGATCTTTCAGCATGATAATGCACCCTGACAAAAATTGCTCAGGAATGGCCTGAGGATCATTACAAAGCGTTTAAGGTGTTGCCTTGTTAGAAACGGCAAATCCATTCTACAGAGGCCCCACCTCACAACTTGCCAGACTTAATGGATGGCTGCTAATGTCTCAGAGCTGCTTTGGCAGCACGAGGGGGGCCTACACGATATTAGGCCGGTGGTTTTAATAATGCCTGATCAGTGTATGTAGGAATTACTTTACCATTATTTGTCCATCTCAGAATGATTCTTAATTTTGATTGCTTGATCTGATTTTTGGTGCCTTGCTGTAAGACAGTTGTCTATTTTACAGTTGACTATTCTGTATTCTCAAGATAACTTGTAACTGTGTGGCTAGTAATTTGCATAATTACCTTCATGTTAATAGAAATCCTAAAACTCTGGAATATTTTGTATGAGTCATGAGGGGTAATTTAAACATCCCTTGAAACTTAAAGGTTCCATATCAATTTCATTGGAAGTCAGTCATTATGTATAGAGATCCTGGGTGCTTTCCTAATGTAAACTGTTTTTGAACAATTTCACCCCAACGGGCTGTCACCACCTCCTGGCCCCTCTGCCTCTTCTTCTGATTTCAATGTTATAAGCCTTTCCCTTGGGTACTGGTCACTGCCCTGCCACGGAGAGAAATGCTTTAGGAAGGAATGTGGGGGATAAGTAAACATAATACTAAACATCCAAGGAAGAAACAGTTCCTCTTTAACCCCTTAAGGGCCAAACTTCTGGAATAAAAGGGAATCATGACATGTCACCCATGTCATGTGTCCTTAAGGGGTTAAGCTAAGTGAGCTTGCCATAGATATACAATCCTCAAGCAGGTTAGAATATTATTATTTATATAGCGCCATCACATTCCGTAGCGCTGTACATTGGGTCAAACTGAATAAGTAAAGAACACATCGTACTGCTTCTACCACAAAAGATGATTTAAAGGTTGCTCCAAACCGTGTTTTGCATTTCTGATTTTCCAGAAAATATAATCTCAGATTTCTACAAAAAGTATAATGAAGATTATGCTAGTATATCTATGATGCAGTACAGACATTATATCATGGCAAGCAATATTGCCCCCTGCTGGTTTATGCAGCATTTGCTTCACATGTGAATTTTTCTTTATTATTGTTATTATTTTATTTATATTGCGCCATCAAATTCCGTAGCGCTGTACAATGGGAGGACTAACATACATGTAATTGTAACCAGACAACTGGACGTACAGGAAAAGAGGGGTGGAGGGCCCTGCTCAATGAGCTTACATTCTAGTGGGAGAAGGGTATAGTGACACAGAGGGTAAAAGTAGGGGTATGAAGTTAGTTGTTAGAAAAGTATTAATTGAGGGCTTAGTAGGTAATTTTTTTACAGTTGCAGGAGTGGAGTCATGGGGGGTCGGGGATAAAAACCTGCTAACAGTTTAATTTATATGCTTTCTTGAAGTGAGTTTTCAAGATTTTTTTGAATGAGTGGAGACTGGGTGAAAGTCTTACGGGGAAGGGAGACAGAGGATATACGTAGGTCTTTGGCAGAGCGTAGGGGCCTCGATGGGACATACTTGTGTATTAGGGAGGATAGGTAGATTGGAGCAGCATTATGTAGGAACTTGTAAGCAAGCACCAGAATTTTAAATAGAGCCCTATATCTAACTGGAAGCCAATGCAGGGACTGACAGAGCGGGGAGGCGTGAGACGTGCGGGCGGACAGGAAAAGGAGTCTTGCTGCTGCATTCATTACAGATTGCAGCGGTGCAATCTGGGAACACGTACGACCACTGAGAAGAGTATTGCACTTTAAAAACCGTTTAATGTAAAGAGACTTGTGTCCATCAAGTTCAGCCTTTCTCACATGTGGTTTTGCTGTTAAACCAAGAGAAGGCTTTTGCTTTTACAGCAATCTCTGCTCTCCTCAATAATATTTCTCAATAAATTTACTGCATTAACTAGACATGGTAGGTATTGTAACTGCTTCATCTAACTGAAGTGGTTATAGTGTTGCAATCCTTCCATTCAAAATTAAAAGGTTTTTAATATTTAATGCTAAATGAGAGACCCCGAACAGCCCAACCCCTGTGTGCTACTTGGACTAATGACGAAGCATTAGCCTGAATAGAAACTGCAAGCTAAAGGAAGTCATCTGACATTCTCAGACAATCACAGAGCCCATTGCAGGAATGATTTCTTGGCCTAAGCGTTTGTGCCAGCAGGGGCCATGCTGTGGGTGACCCTTAATTAGTGTTAAATTACTTGAACATGATTGCACAATTGGATGCCAGGCACTATAAACAATTCAATGAGCGTTAAACAGCATCATGCTGGATAAAAGGCTGACCACAACGTGAGGCATGTGCTTGGGAAAACGTAAACATATCTGTCTAAAACTGCAAAGTTTTACCTTCTCTGTGCACCAAAACTACTTCATTAGGATTCAGTTGTGTTGGTGCCTAGAGAGTCGCTTCCAGAGAGATGTTTCCCACACTATAGCAACTCGTCTGGAGAATAGCTTACTTGGTACACTGCATACAAAACTCTTAGGGTATGTGTCACGTATTCATCCTCATATAAAAATGTGATTTACATTTACTGTTCTGACAGGAAAAGTTGTGCCGAGCAGCAATCAAATCCACAGGAGGGTTTGTGCTGAGCAGCAATCATGCAAATAAGAACCTGGTAACTGCCTGTGGGGTCAAAGGCCGATTACAGCCTATTAGATCCAGAGGAGGGGTATTTAGGCCCATTTCTCATCCTGCTCAGTGCCCTGTGGTGGTTTCCTTAGTGGTTGTCCGAGAGCGCATTCCTGATTCAAGTTTCTTCTGTTTTTTTGCTTTGGCTTTGATTTTTCACTTCCCTGTATTCTGGTTTCCCTGACTTCTGGCTTTCCCGTATCATTGTGTCTCTTGCTGTATCTCCTGATCTCGGCAAGTATCCTGACTACTCTTTGGTACGTTAAGTCCGGCCATTCTAAGGCCTGGTAATACGTTACCTATTAGTCATCTGTGTGACACAATTCTACGTGCTGGATCAACTAGTAATCCTGACAGTATGTGAGTACCTGATTGAAAGAAAAATAAGTTATAGAAATGATTGTGGCAGGGGTAGGCCGGGTTTGAACTACCATTTCGATAATCTATAATGTACCATCCGTTTCCTTTAACTAGAACACAAATAAAAAAAAAAAGAGCAATTCTAAAACTGCATGTGTACACAGAAATCTCAAAATTCCTTGCTGGAGCAATTCAATTATAGCAATTCAACAAAGTACAATAACACTTAGAACATACAAATCTGATAACTTGAAGCGTCAATATATGCATCACAGAATAATCAATGCTGATAAGACTAAACCTAATGCATTTAAGCCATTATAAACATTGCACTTTTAATATACTTAATATACCTTCACATTATAATTGATCTTAGGATTGGTTTTACAGTATTTAGTGTTTTATTTATACATTCATTTGCATAATAAAACCATTGCAAATGTTTTTATTATTTTTTTTTTAAATATATTATATACTTATCGTATGCACTGTATCTGTAAATGTGTGGGCTAATTAACCTTGCTTATCTCTATGGTGACAATAATGGTTATTACTTCATACAGTTCCACTGCTATCCTATTCATTTTTCATACAACTCACCACATCTTACTTGAGTGTTGGTTGACTTCTAGTTAAACAGCATATACCTGTAATGTCTATTAGTACCTACAGGAAGAGCTTCCCTATATTTATTAATAACAACATTTTTAAAGTAGACCTACTGGAACTAAAAACAAACAAAGAAACAAAACATAGACAGAGTGGGCAGAAGTTTTATTTTGCAACCCAGTACCCAAGGTACACTGTAGCTTTAAGAATACAGTGGTACCTCGGTTTACAAACGCCTCCGTTAACATAATTTGAAAATGAAAATAATGCCTCAGTTTACAATTTTTTTTCGCAATACAAAGCAAGTTTCCCCAGGATGCATTGTGGGTGGGAGGTTTATAGCGCCACCCCATGCATGCTTGAGTCTGTGGGTAGCTAGTGGCAAAGAGTGTGGATGTGTTGGAGCAGTTTCTGCGTTGTTTTGAAACTATTGTGGAGATTTTTTACAGCGGTTTTGGGACCATTTGGCACTTTTTTGGTGCATTTCTCAAGCGGTGGAAAGGTAGGGAGCTGAGCTTTGTCGTTTGCATGCATTTTTATTGTATGTTCTGCATTGTGGGTTGGTTTCCATGCCAGCTCATTTTTACTTTTTAATGACCTCCAGAACGGATTGCCATACAAAAGTCCCGGAGAACACATTAAATTCATAAACCGAGGTACCACTGTACTTATCTGTATTCTTAACACTTCAGTCCTGGTGCTCCTTTTAGATTTTGTCATCCCACACCCCTCCCTCAACTGTACAAAAATAAATAAATTAAACCAATTACTCCCTTTTTCTCCAGCGACGAGTCTCCCTTGGCCCTGTCATGACCTCCTCTGGTTGAATCCTAGAAGAGCATTGCAGTGTGCAAGTCCTTCTTAGAGAATAATTGTATTGAATGTTTCTCTATGGCAGACCATGACGGCACTGCGCATGCACGGATGACATCACGGTATGTTACAGACAAGGGGGTTGCTACAGGATTGCAGGCATTACAGCAACTTCAAAAAGATGTTGTTAAATTGCCTACAGTGTCCCTTTAATATGTGACTCAAGTAATACATTTCCATAATTACAGAAAAATTATAAAGCATTTTTTACTAAATGCACATTTTAAAACAATTTGCATAATTTGAAGCAATCTGCCTATTTTTAGATAAAATTATTATGCTAAACAGACTCTCATTTTTGTCACACATTGAAGTAAAGAATTTGAAAGATTCATAGGTTAATTTATTAACTCAATCATATCCTCAAAGGGAATAAGTAAAAATGTTAACTAAGGAAAACCGGCACAGACCGGGTTATTCACTAGACATCAGATTATGTGCAAATGTACAAAATTCTGTGGAAATGGCTGATTTCTGACTGGAATGGCAATTCTCATATTTGCCAATGGAATTTGTATCATTTGGTTGAAAGTGGTTTTAAAATTAGTGGTTGTTGCATCCAATCCCTATACAAAATATGATTTAGATTATGCATAAAACACAGATTATAAACTGAATCACTGTGGAGTATGCTTTTGAAAATTATCATTCACTTGCTTTATGCATGCATATGTTAATTTAAAGCACAGTGTAGCGGAACGCCAATATAAAATCCACGAATTCCGCTGGTCCAGAACGAATCCACAGTCAAGCGCTGAAAACACCAAGGCAATATCCCCAACCTCCCAATAACCGGACGAGACACAGTTTTGGGAGTCAACTGACAATCCTTTATTCAGCACGACAATTTATACAAGTCCCCATGCAAGGGGTCTCCTGAGTCCCTTCCCAGGGGCATTCCCAGAGGGGACTACATGGGGGACTTACAGTATAACATATTTCTCCCATCAGGCACTGCTGCACGAGAGGGATCATCCTCCCAGAATGCACCGTTAAGGGGATTATCCCCTCGTGCAGCAGAACCGGCAATTCATATAAAAATACATAACTTTTAAAATACACGGTGGATTTACACGAATGGACGTTCGGTAGATAGCTGGGGTCTGGGCGCATCATTCGTGAGATTGCTGCTCAGATCCCAGCCAAATTAACCGAACGCCGCACAGAAAACACATTTCTTACAAAACCCACAAAAGGAACCGATTGCTTTGGGTGAACTTGGTCCTGAAACTCCCGAACGTCTGGGAGGCTCAGCGGTGTTCGTGCCGTCGAATAACTATTGGTAGTAGTATGCGTTCGACGACACGAACCCGCTGACGAACAAGGGATCCAAGATGGCCGACCGCCGCATGGTCGGTAGTCGAACGACGGCCACCCAGGAGAGCCTCTAATAACCGATTGCAACAATGTTGCAATCGGTTAACTAGCGCCACACGCCTCTAAGTGTGTGGGCTATTAGGGGGTATCGCGTTCGGTTCACGAACGGCTTTCTAAAGTGCCGTTCGTGAAACGAAAGAAAATCCCCATACAAAACCGCCAATTGCATTCGGCGGAAACAGTATTACAGGCAACACGGAAAATACCTTAACATCTACATATGTGTACAGCGCATATCTCGCCCGACCTAGTGGCAACCCTTAAAGGCACAGTCTCTGGTTATTGTCCAAGTGGCTAGGTTTGCCACAATGCTCCCCCAGAACCAAGCCGGCATACACAGCCTGATCCCAACGGATCGGCTTGGGGATGTCCGGGGGAGTGCTCACAGATCATTTCTCAAGGTCTGTTTGTCTGGACAACCCGTCGGCATTACCGTTTTGTTTCCCTGGGCGGTAGTGTATTGTAAAGTCAAAGGGCTGCAGCGCCAAACTCCAGCGCAGCAGCCTGGCATTGTCTCCCGCCACACGGTTTAGCCACACCAACGGGTTGTGATCTGTGAGCAAAGAAAAGGGTTGCCCATAGAGATACGGCTGTAACTTTTTCAGGGCCCACACCACGGCCAGGCATTCCTTTTCTATGGCGGCGTAGCTCACTTCTCGGGGTAACAGTTTCCGACTCAAGTAGGCTACGGGGTGTTCTCCGCCATCGGCTCCGACCTGGCTCAGTACTGCTCCCAATCCAAACATTGAGGCGTCTGTGTGAACAAGAAAACGTTTAGTTGGATCAGGAGCAGCCAGTACAGGGGCATTGGTCAGAGCCGTCTTCAGCTGATTGAATGCCTGTTCACACTCTGGGGCCCAGACGACCTGCCGGGGCAGGTTTTTCTTCGTCAAATCAGTCAGGGGTTTGGCCAGGGCACTGTAGTTGGGTACAAATTTTCTGTAATACCCTGCGGTACCTAGGAAAGCCAGGACTTGGGTTTTGGTCCTAGGGGTAGGCCACTGGGCTACAGCTTCAATCTTTGCGGGCTCAGGCTTCTGCTGCCCGCTACCAACCCGGTGTCCTAAGTACTGGACCTCTGCCATCCCTATGTGGCATTTGCTGGGTTTCAAGGTAAGCCCTGCCTCTCGAATCCGGTCTATTACTGCCCCTATGTGTTGTAGGTGTTCTGCCCAGGTCTGACTGTAGATGGCAATATCGTCCAGATATGCACACGCATAGTCCTGGAACCCGTCCAGTAGCCGATCCACCATCCGCTGGAATGTCGCGGGGGCGTTCTTCATCCCGAATGGCATGACTCGAAATTGGTACAAGCCAAACGGGGTGACAAACGCCGACTTAGGGATGGCGTCCTCGGCTAGTGGAATTTGCCAGTATCCCTTACACAAATCTATGGTAGTGAGATACTGACCCCTGGCCATCCTATCAAGCAGTTCGTCTATCCGAGGCATCGGGTAGGCGTCCGACACAGTTTTGTCGTTCAACCTCCGGCGATGCCCAGGGGCTATCTGAGTGTTCAATAACCCCCAACTGCAACATCTCTTCGATTTCCTTCCTCA